AGTTCTAGGTGGATCGGGGAACAAGACCAGAACGCGAATTTGCCATGTGTTGCTCTCTGGTATCACCTGACCTAATCCCAAAACCCAGAAGTGGGCACTTGGCCAAAAACAGAGCCCCATGGGAAGCTGAAGACTCCCCTAATTCTGGTTCTGTGCTGTTTCAGAGAGTGTGGACATATCTCACGTTTTCTTTCTTTTTTTCTTCCCCTCATGCCAAAGCTCTTAAGCAACCTTGCAATATTGGTGGGCAAGATTTGAACAAGACTCAGAGACTCCTAACATAATATAGAAAATATTCAAGATAAAATCCAAAATTACTTGATATATTAAGAACCAGAAAGATCACAATACTCATGAGAAAAGACAATAGACACCAACAATCAAATAAAGATACGAAAAATTTCTGACAAAGACATTAAAGCAGCTATTATAAAAATCCTTCAGTAAGCAATTAGGAACACTCATGAAACAGATGAAAAAATTACATTCTAAGAAAATAAGAAAAATCTTTATGGTCTGCAGTTAGGAAAAAGGTTTTTAGACATGATACCAAAAGCACAATCCATAAAAGAAAAAATTGATAAAATTGACTTCATCATAAAAATGAAGAACTTTTATTCTGTGAAAGACCCTGTTAGAAGAATAAAAAGTCAACCTTGTGACTGGGAGGAAATATTTGCAAATCACATAACTGTCGAAGGACTGTATGCAGAATATGCAAAGAATTCCCAAAACTCAACGATAAGAAAACAAACAACCCAATTAAAGAATTGGCAAAGACTTGAACCGACCCTTCATCAAAGAGGATCTATGAATGACAAACATGCACATGACAAAATTTTCTATGTCATTAGGGAAATGCAAATTAAAGCCACAATGAGATACTATTAAGTATCTATTAGAAGCAGAATGGCTATAATAAAGACCGTGACAACATCAAGTGATAGAGAGATTACGGAGCAACTGGAACTACGCACTGCTTTTGAGAACACGAGACGGCACAGTCACTGTGGCAAACAGCCTGAAGTTCCTTATGATTTAAACATGCATTTACCAGATGAGGCAGCAACCCCATTCCTGGTACTCACTCTAGAGAGAAAAGCAACTTATGTTTACACGAAAAGTTGCATATAAGTGTTTACAGCAGCTCTATTCACACTTGCTAAAGCACGGAAAGAACCCACATGTCCTTCGGGGGTGCATGGCGAAACAATCTGTGGTCCTGCACGTGACAGGACACTACTCAGCAATACAAAAGAATGGAATATTGATAAACACAGCGACATCTTTGAATCTCGCAGGCAGCACGTTGAAAGAAAGCAGTCTCAAAGATTACATACCGTACATTTCCATTTATATGACTTTCTCAAAAAGAACAAAACCATAGTGAAAGAGAACAAACAGTGTGGGAGGGTGTGGGGTTATAGGTGGGGGATGGTGTCACTTTTAAGGGACTAGAACAAAGTAGGCTTTTGGGGGGGCGGGGGATAGAGCTGTTCCGTATCCTGGTTATGATGGTGGTCACACAAACTTCTACGTACATTAAAATTCATAGAACTATATATCACAGAAAGGTCAGTTTCACTGTATAAGAATTTTTTTTAAAATGACATTTAAAGTCACATACACCAAATGGATGTCTCTGAAAGTAATAGTTGGATTTCCCTTTACAGGAAAAAAGGGGGGGCGGGCCACCCCACTGGCCCCACTCTCGTCTAGGTATGGCCTAACGTCCCAGAATCAAATCCCTGTAGAAGGACGGGCTGGAAGCCCTGCCTTCAAAGGTGGCATCGAACACTGTGCCCGCCTGTGGAAATACAGTGCAAGCAAAGTCCTGATCTCAAAGCCTCATTTCTTTCCCTCTTCCTCCTCCTAGCTCTGACAGGGCGTATGGAAATAATGTTAGAAATGTAAACTTCGAGCATGAATGGGAATTTTATTTCCAGAGATGTTTATAATGTTTTCTCTTGGGTTGAATCCTTCATTCATATCCAAATAAATTATTTGGGGCTGTTGATAAGAGGATAAATCTTGGAGGGTTTTCACAAAGGTCTGTATTCAGAGAACCTGTCCTCCTCCTGGCTGTGCTTTTTCTGGGGAGTGGGAGGAGAGGGGGGGTTGAATTTGCAATGTTTTCTTTTCCTTTTTGTGTGTTCACAAAGCACTCTGGATATCGGGTAGCCGCAAGTCCAAGGTGGGAAGGAAGATAGGCTTTTGCAAAGACAATCACCTTTCAAAGCACACGCAAAGGTTCAGTTTATTCAAAGAGCCCCCCCCCAGAGAAAAAGCAACAGACCAGAGCCTTTGTTTGCATTTTCCAAACCAGCAATTGCAAAGTCTCAGTAGTAAGATATGAGCTACCTGTTGTCTCTGTTTAGCTTCGTTTTTAGATAGCTAGGGACTCTGTTTAAATGGCTGATGGGTAAGGATGGGAAACATTACATGATGGGCAGGGGGGTGTTTAAGGAACTTCAGTTTAAAAATTTTATACAAGAACTATGTTTTTTTCTCTCTCTCTTTTCTAGCCGTCTGCCCCCACTCCGTCCCACCCAATGTTGACAATGTTAATGTGTATTTGTTAGTGAGCTTTGGCTGTCAGTGACAGGAATCCATATTAAACTGATTTAGAAGATAAGGGGAGATGGATGAGGAGGATTGGCTTGTTTAACTAAAAAGTCCAGGGGAGGATGCAGGCATGGTTTGATCTAGGGTTTTTTTTGTCCACTATGAGGCTCAGTTACAAGCAGGAAAAAAACAATCTAGCTGGTTAAATGTAAAAGAGCTTATTGGAGGTGAATTTTTCATTTAGGAAGGCATAAAATTATAAGATGGGAAATTCTCTAAACATGAGAGGAAATTTAAATGGAGGCAAAAAATAATGAAAATAACATTACCAACAATAGCTGACACACGCGTGTAAGTACTTATGCAGTAAGTATTTGCACTAATTTAGTTCTCACTACACTCCTTTGGACATGGGTCTTCCTCAGATAGAGGATCTGAGGTAAAGGGACCTGAAATAACTTGCCCAGGTCTGGGGTGACTGTCTCTGCTGGCTTGCCTGGGACAGTCCCGATATAATGCTGTCCAAAGTAACGACTATGAGCACCCCGATTACTTTCAAAAGTGGTTTGATTTAGCCAATGGCATCTCTAGTCATACCTCCTAGATCACACAGCTAGGAAAAGGAGAAGCTTGGATGACAAGGGACACTCATGAAAGCAGCTGCCATCACCAGCCTCAGTCTCCCTCTTTCTCTACCTCTCAGCTCTGCTTCCTCTGGGCTCCCCCTCGGGGGTCTTGCTGTGTGGGGGATCTGGTGGCCTCGGGCTGAGCTCTTTCCGCTGCCACGGCCAATGGGAAGAGACACGTCCTGGCCAAATGTTTCAGCGGAAATCGCTCAGTTCCAGCTCATTGGCCAGTGTGGGCGCGGAGCTCCTTTCTGGAAGCTCGGCTGACGCCCCAGGAAACTCAGGTGCTAAGAGTAGGGGTGACGGCCAACAACATGGAGAGTGACGTGGTCCAGAGGAGCGGAGTGGATGCCGTCCAGGGACAAACTGCAGACGCCCAGCTTAATGTCAGGACCAGCCGTTTATTATTATTACGGCTAATTTATATGAAAGTCTAGTTGGCAAAGCTAGATTCTTCACGTGCTTTCCGGACCCTGCGTATGCACTGATAATCATGGAGGATTGATCGTATCGTGAGATGGTTGGATGCCGCCATGGAACCAGTTCTGTTAGGGACACGGAGATGAGGAGAAAAAAAGGGTCCTCCCCAGCTGAGGGCAGGGGTTGGCAAACTCTCTCTGCAAAGGGCCAGACAGTGAATATTTTAGGCTTTGTGGCTCCAATGTTGTCTCTACCGTGTGTTCTTCTGTGTGTCCGTGTGTACATATGTGTGCCTGTATGTTTTTTGTGTATGTTTGTGAGTGTGTGTGTGTGTGTGTGTGTGTGTGTCTGAGATGTAAAATCCATCGTTAGCTCAGGGAATGAACAAAAACGGGCCGAGTGGGCTGGATGGAGCTCGGGCGCTGGCTCGCCAACTCCTGCTCTGGCAGGGAGGGCGAGACACAGGTATGCGAGCAGAGGGCGCTGGCTGCGTCGTGTCACTGCACTGGCCCATCTGTGTGTCCGCAGAGCCCCGTGAAGGGCTGAGATCTGGAAGGGTCGTGGGGGGGAGACTTGAGGGGCGCCAGGGCTGCTGGAGTGGAGCCCGCCGTTTCGCCAACTGGAGTCCATTTGTCTTCTCCCTGCTGGTGGTGCCGGGCGTTCCTCTGAAGGCCCCTCCTGCGCCTGCTCCGCACAGACCCGCCGGGTCTCCCGTCCCCAGTCACAGCCACGATTCGGGAACGAGCACATGGCCTGTGAGAGCCTCTCGCTGCTGCCAGAGGGTCTCTTGGGGTGGATTAGGGTTTCTCACCAGTTCTTCCTCCTCCACCAGCTGCTCAGCCACACCTAGAATAAAACTCAGACTCTGCCTATGATCTAGAAGATTCCATCAGGCTCCGGTCCACCTCCCCACCCTCCTGACGCCCTGCTGATACCCTCCCCTTTAGTCTCTCACCCCAGCCACACCCTTCTCCTGGCTGATGTGCAAAGCACGGTCCCTCCTCTGTGGCTTCACCGCTGCTGGTCCCTCTGCCTTCAACGTTCTCTCGCCAGTATCCACAGAGCTCGTGCCCTGTAGGTCTTTTCTGAAAACTGACCTCATCGGAGGCCTTTCCCCACCGCTCTAAAATAGCCGCCCCTCCCCCTTCATCTCGTGGCCTGCACTGTTTTTCTTTGTTACACTTGACATCTTTTATGTATTTGTTAATCCATTTATTGTTAGTCACCCCGCTGGCCTGGAAACTCAGGAGGTCATGGATTTTCATCTGTTTTGTCTCCTGTGTCACAAGCACCTAAAAACATTCTGGAACAAAATGATGTTCCTAAATATTTGCTGAATGAACAAATCCATAAATGAACATTGGTACAAAGATACTCTCTCTTTTCCAGAAGCTTTAAATCTAAGAAGAGGTGAAAAATGCTACAGCCACAAAGGGAACATCTGTTTGAGGGACAACGCAAAGATAGAGAAGCCAGATTTTGATGACATCAGTTGAACAACTTGATCAAGCGGTACCTGAAGCAAGCCTACTGCTGCAGTTTTCAATGGCAAAAGCCAATAAATTCTCCTCATGCCTTCCTCAATCACTGTGGATTGGAGGTCTTGTGTTGTGTAATACAGGAGCCCTTAGAGTATTGTTTGGTCAGAGAGAAGAGAAGGGGACAGGGAGGAAAGGCGAGGAGAGGAGGAAACAGCATGTGGAGTGGTCAAGTGGTCAAATGATACATCAGGAGAGGCAGCAATTTTGGCCGCTAATAAAATATAGTTCTCTGTAAGCCTCGGAGAAAGTCCATTTACAAACACAGCAAAGCATGGAGCTGGGCCCATTGGGACCACACGTTGTCACTGCATGGGGAGTCCAGCACACTGGAGGAAGGAGCATGGGTCACAGAGAGGACACAGACCCCAGGATCAATCATGTGAGTCCTGGGAGGCTCCAAATGGCTGCACCTCTTTCCTGCAGCCAGTAGCCTTTGGCAAACACCTGAACCTCAAGTTTCCCATCTGAAAAATGGGATGATAAATCTGAGTCTCAGCAGTGTCACACTGAGGGTGGACAGGACATCTTTACAGAAGTGCCTGGCATGGGACCTGGCCCAGGCGGTGTTCAATACATGGCAGCTGCAGCTGTGATGGGCCTGGGCTGCCCGGCTTAGAACAGGCACCTGCGCTGGGGGGTTTGCTAGAACTACCTCCTCCCTCCGAATTCAGGGTCGGAAACAGAATCGCTCCACGGAGAAACCAGAGAACGTGGCTTCCCCAGAGCTTGTGTCCCAGCAGGTGACAAAACGCTTTTGCCTCCACCTGCATAGAACACCCCAAAGAAGCACTGAGCACAGTGGATCCCACAGTGACGAGGTTCCCATCCTTTCCGTTTCCCCTCCCTCCTTCCTGTTAAGCCAAGGAGAGACGCTCAGCTGGCAGCTCAGAACATCTTATTGTCACTCTGGGGCTTCCTACTCCCCCGAGCTAATCAGGGACGAATTGGGACTGGGATCCCATCACTGCCTGCACCGGGCAATGCACCTTGTGGTGCTGGGTGCACGTTTGGTCCTCAGGCTGGGTAAGCTGTAAGAGCAGCGCCTGTCCTGGCTGCTGAGATGTAAGAAACAGAGACATTTTGATGGAGCAGAATGCAGGAAACTTCCATGCCAGGGGTGGGCAGCCCGGGAGGAGTGCCGTGCCATAGGGCGGCCCCCAGGAAACCGGGGGAGTGGGGCAGCGAGGCCGTTAGAAGGAGACTGGGAGGTGGCTGTGGAGAAGAGTGGTGGGAACAGGCTGAAGCTACAGTTCCTTTCGCCCCGTTTTCACAGAGGGAATACGTTTTTCTGCCATGGCCATAGGATGCCCAGACCCCCTGGATGCCTCTGTTCCAGTAGAAAGGTACACTGCAGGGTTCACGCCTGCCCTGCCCCAGACCCGGAGTTGTCTGTCATCGGAAAACCTCCGAGTCTTCTGCGGCTGCCAGAGTCCCGGCTGTGACCACCGCCCATCCATCACACACTGGCCGTGCCCCGACACCGGGGCCCGCGTGCCCAGGGCTAACAGAGCCCGTCTGTACGGCCGCCTGGCGCCGGGACACACAGGCCTGACGAGACCCGATGGAGGAAGGCCGGGCTGGCAGCCTCGCATGCTTTCCCTCCCGTCTCGAACCGGAATGCGCCCTCCAGCACATGGGGAGCCCTGGCAGCCCCGGCCCGTCGCTCATGGGCACGTGGAAACGAGCTCCAGGGAGAAGCGGGAGAAGAAGGGTCCTGCTCACCTCTTCCTAGGGACACGAGAAGACTTGTTTGGCCACTGCTGAGAGACCCTCCCACTCCCCCGGGAGAAGCTTCCAGAAGTTGCTAGATGATCGCCTGTGTTTCAGCCAGTTGTCCGTGACTCGGGGTCGATGCGCGACTGCTCAGGTTCACACTGTGCATCTGTCTTCCTTGTGAAAACCTGAGCTCTCTGCTGTTTCCAGCGACAGCATATCTTATGCTTCCTGGCAGATTCCTAATAGACGCATCAGACGAGAAGCTTTCTTTGTGAAATGGCGACTTTCTTCATGGAGGTTCCATCTGGGCTCGGAAATACAGTGGCTCCATGGCAGCGTTAACAAAGGACGTTTGGTGTTTTGAAAGTGTGTTCTCATGTTTCAGGAGACAAGCTGAAGCGGGGGGTAGAAACAACCCCCCTCCCCCAGGACACTATGCACATGGTGGTTCTGGCTCCCAGGTGCACCAGCTACTGACATTCACAAAGATGGGGACAAGGGCTTCTTGTTTGGTTGGTTTTGCTTTGTCTTAGTCATTGTTGTACCCATAGGACATAGATTTATACCTGACACATAGGTGCTCAGGAAACATCTACTGAATGGATGAATAAAGAATGAATGAAATGAATAAAAAGGAGCTAAGACTCGAGCAGACTTTTCTCCAAAGAGGATGTACGAATGGCCAACAAGCACATGAAAAGATGCTCAGCATCACTAATCATTAGGGATGTGGCATCAAAAAGGCAGTGAGGTAACCGCCTCACGACTGTTAGGATGGCTATTGTCAAAGAGAGAAAAAACAAAAAAACAGAAAATGACAAGTGTTGGTGATGATGTAGAGAATTGTGCACTGATGGTGGGAATGTGAAAGGGTGTAGCTGCCCTGAAAAACGGTATGGCTGTTACTCAAAAAATTAAAAGTAGAAACACCATACGATCTAGCAGTTCTACTTCTGGGTATATAACCCCCCAGAATTGAAAGCAGGGACTTGAAGAGGGATTTGTACACCTAGGTTCATAACAGTATTATTCACAGAATGCAAAAGGAGTAAGCGACACAGGTGGCCGCGGACGGAAGAACAGATAAGGAAATGTGGCACATGCTGACAATGGATGGCTGCGCAGCCTCACGAGAGGAGGAAACCCTGACACATGCTGCACAGCGGATGGACCTTGAACACACATGCAAAGTACAGGGAGTCAGTCACGAAAGGACAAATACAGATGCTCCTCGACTTACAATGGGGCCACATCCCTGTATACCCATTGTGAGTTGAAAATATAAGTTGAGAATGCATTTAACATACCTACCCTGCCAAACATCACAGCTTAGCCTGGCCGATCTTAAACATGCTCAGAACACTCACATTAGCCTACAGTTGGGCAAAAATCGTCTAACGCAAAGCCTATCTTACAATACGGTGTTGACTATCTCATGTAATTTATTGACCGCGATACTGAAAGTGAGAAACAGAGTGGTCGTATGGGTACTGGAAGTACAGTCCAGACCCATACGACCACTCTGACAGTTCAGTTCGCTTTCATACTACCGTGAAGTGGAAAATACCGCAAGTCTAACCATTGTATGTCAGGAGCTGTCCGTACTGTCTGATTCCGCTCACGTGAGGCAGCTGGACAGGCAACTTCGCAGGGACAGAAAGTAGAGGGTGGCTGTCAGGGGCCGGGGAAGGGGGAACGGGCGTTGTTATTTAATGAGTGTAGGGTTTCAGTTTTGCAAGATGAGAAAGAGTCCGTGGATGGACGGTGGTGATGGTCGCACAACAGTGTGAATGTACTTAAGGCACTGAATTGTCACTTAAAGATGGTTAAAATGGTAAATTCTTTAATGTATATTTTACCGCAATTGCACAATAAATTAAAATACAATAAATGTATTCATTTTAAAAGAGAGAGAGGGGGAAGGCTCCCAGAAGTGCCATACCCTGCCAGGAATCACCACAATATCCTTCAGCAACTATGGAATCATCTCAGGACTGGGCTAAAGGGGGCCTCAGCCTCAGCAAGAAAGGAGAGGAAAGAGTGGGAAACAGTGGCAAGGAGGGAGCTGGGCCAGGGCTGGGGGCAGAGGGCGTTGAGAGGGCAGGTGAGGCCTCATGGCCGAGTGTCCTCAGACCCAGCCAGGCTGAACCCAGGGCCGGCAGGAGACATCCACAGAGATGGGAACCCCAACTCTGTCCCTATGCCTGGGGGACACTGAGGGACACTCTCTGGATCCAGCAAGGAGAGTCTCAGGCAAGCAGAAATATTTCAGTTTCAAGAGACACAAACCTCTCTGAAACTGGTGCCAGCCCAGAAGGAATTCATTGGCTCATGTGACTGAAATGTCACAGATAAATAGGGTTTGGACACAGCTGCATTCAGGAGTCAGCCTTTCTCCTTCCATCCTTCTGCTTTTCTTTCATCTGTTTTGGCTTCACTCATAGGTGGGCTTTCCCCTCGTGAGGGCAGAGGTGGCCACCAGCAGCTCCAGGCTACGTCTTAAGCTCGGCGACTTCAGAGGGAGAAAAGAGAGCCCTGGCCCTAAGAGCTCTGGCAAACCTCTCAGGGCAAACTCTCATTGGCCAGGCAGGCTCACATGACCATCTTCCATTCAACGGCGAGGCCAGGAGAATGGATTACTCTGATTGGCCAGTCCTAGGTCACATGTCCACTTGTAGAGCCAGGGGTGGAGTTGTCCTCATACTATTAAATAACTACTGGGACTGAGAGTCTGGAAGGGAGGGTTCTTTAGAGGAAAACCAACTGCTGCTACCATAGATAGGAAATGCATGCAGGACAGGCAAAAACTACAGCCATTCCATGTGCTCTTCCCCCTCGAGACCCCCTGGACAAGAAGGCACCAGGGGCCTGGGATGAGACGCAGAATAAGGCAGAGACCAGTGGGTGGTAGAAGACACATTCTCTGCAGTTCCCAAGGAACGGGGGCAGGGCATCTTTGGGCAGGTCCTTCTGCAGACCTGGCACTGCCCAGCGGCCCCGAGGAGACTTCGAGGCGGCACAGTCCCCTCTCTGGCCAAGAGGCCGGCGTTGGGCAGAGCTGCCCGTGCTGGCGGCTGAGGGCTTCTCGGGGTCTGTGCCAGCAGATCCGAGTGTGGGACGGACGCCTGACGCCTGGCCCAGTGTCCATCTGACCCAGACAGAGCCGGCCTCTCCGTGCACTGGGCAGGGAAGCAAGGCCCGGCGGCCGGGGCGGGAGCACACGAGGGCGCCAGCAGCTGGCGGGGCGAGCAGCCGTGCTCCGACCCCGGCAGCAGGAGACACGCAGATACAGTCCCGAGCAGGGCCGGGGGGCCAGAGCAGCAGCACTCAGCATGCACACAGTGAATACTGCCTGCTAGTGTTGCTATCATCCCCGTCTGTCTAAGTCCACCTCTGCCCACCTCTTATGATTTCCGTTCCCTGTGGGCAGCCCCTGCTCAGTGGGGAGGATCCATTGTTTCCCATTCGGGGTTCCCAGGACACCCCTATTGAGAGCGCGTGCCTGTACCACGCCTCTTCTGAGCGCTGCGGGCAGCAGAGTGGGTGCTTCATAGGCGGGGCTCTGGCACCAGACGGCCTGGATTCATACCCTGGCTCTAGCTGCTTATTTGCTGTGTGACTTTGGGCAAGTGACTTGACCTCTCTGTGTATGCCTTAGTTTCCTGGAGGAAATGAGGATGGTAATAGGAGCACTTCATGGAGGACTTGTAGGGACCAGACAAATTGTTGATACTTTAAACGGTATGTGACGCATGGGAAGTGCTCAGTGAATGTTGGCTTTCTTAGCTGTTTGCTGCCTGTCTTGCTCTCTGCGTGGCGGGCATCTTCAGGGCGCAAGCCAGGCTTTATTTATCTTTGTGTTTTTGGCACCTCACACCGTGCCTGGACCGCGTAGGTGTCATATTAGTGCCCCGTGCCTGCGGCCTGGTCTCACATCAGTTATTTCTTTCGTGCCTCCTGCCTGAAGGGCCCTGTTCCAGCCCGAGAAAGTAGAAGGGTGCCTCCAGCCAACCGGGTCCCCGTTCGGGCTGCTGGCCCGGGAAGCTGAAGAAGGCTGGGCGGGGGACCTGCCAGCTGGGGGAAGCTGCCGCTCCTCAGCAGGGGACTCGCGGCCACCCGCCTCGGTCGGGAGCACTTAGGGCCTCGTTTGGAGGCATGCGAGGGATGCCACACAGAAGGCCACAGCATATGCCGTTTCTCGGGCTGTGCCAGACGGCGGGGACTTGGCTGCGCTCCCCTCTAGCTGCGAGCCCGCTGACCCGCTCAGAGTCTCCAAAATGCAAAAGAGAAATTACAGTGCTGCTTTCAAATGACTGGAGCTGGGAGACGGCAAGCAGCCTGGCAAAGAAGGGATGCACCATTGTCGCTGGTGCTCAACTGCGTTCACGCACCAGCAAAGCAAGAGGGACCCCAGCCTGCTTGAAGAGCACCCTGGTTAGCTTGACCGCCATGAGAAGCACCTAGAACAGAACAGTGGTTAAAAGATCGGGCCCTGGAGCCCCACTGCCTGGACTCAAGTCCAAGCTTCTTCACTTAATGGTTGTGTGAATCTTCGGCAAAAAACTTTAGTTCTCTGTGCCTCAGTTTCCTTATCTGTAAGATGGAAATATTTTTGCCGTAACAGTGGAAAGACATGGAAGATCAACAATGCTGTTTGCCTGTGTATCAATATGACAACAGCTAACTCTTATACCGTACTTACCACGTGCCAGGAACTGTTCTTCCCATGTGTTCTTCGCATTTAATCCTCACAACCACCCCACGAGGTAGGTGCTATTATTATCTCTATTTCACAAATAAGCGAAGTAAAGAAAGTTCAGACAGGACACTCAAGGTCACAGAGACAGAAATTGGCAGAACCAGGATTCAAACTCAAGCTGTCTGGCTCACGGGCCACACTCTTACCATCGAGCCCTGCCGCCTGCCAATATGAGATAGATCTCGTCAAAGACGGAGTCTTGCCCTGAAGCGAGTGCCTATGATTTACTCTAGGAGATTTAGCAAAAAGCTGTGTGTGCAAGAACCTAGAACAGCCAGAGGCTACCGGCTTAGCTAACTGATGATGATCAATCAATCTTTTCTCCCTCAAATAGATGGAATTAGTTAGCATGATCTTGGCTATAAGTCACTGTTAATCCAACTCAAAGTGTTTTCAACAGGCACGACTTTGATGATTATCATCCACCCAGGAGTTCAGGTAGCTGCAATGTGGTTAATCCAGCGGCTCAGGAACATTATTAAGGAACGTGGCTCTTTCCCACTTCTGTTCTGTGATCTTTGGGGCACCAGCTTCACCCACAGGCCAACACCCTCTTGACAGCAAGATGGCTGCCCATGGTTCCAGGCAGTTACAGGTGTGAAAAACGTATGCGTAAATGGAGAGACGAGATAGCACGGGTTGTCCTTACTTGTTATTCTCTTAGGAGCCTGAAAACATTCTCCAGAATCTCTTAGAAGACCTCCCACCAGGTCTGATTGGCCACCATGGGGCCACACGTTCCTTCCTAGACCAGTCACTGGCAGGATGAATGGTAAGATTGACATACGCTGCTTGACCTCCCTTCACTTGCTCAGCCATTCCTCCTGCGGGATGCCTGGCCCAGTCCCAAATATCAGGTGGTTAACCATTTGTATCAGTTAGGAATCCTTGTAGTTATAACAGAAAATCCAGCTAAGAGCGGCTTAAATGGAGAAGCTCAGAGCCAGTGCTGTATCCGACATTGATGCACCAGGGCCAGGGGCCTCCTGTCTTTCCCCTCTTGGTCCTCAGCGCACTGGTTTTCCCACATGCAGGTTCATCACCTTCTGGTTCCAAGATGGCTGCTTTGCCTCCAGGCAGGAAGGGGAAGAGGAAGCGGGGGTAGGAGGCAGTGTCAGGAACCCCCTGCAGACATCTGTTTACACCTCATTGGCTGGCACTGGGTCATGTGACCACTGTTAGCTGCAAGGGAGGCTGGGAAAGTGAGTGCCTTGGCTGGGCCCTCCCTTTGCCACCCTCAACAAAGCCAGGGTCCTCTGTAGGAGGGAGAAGTGGATGCTGAGCCGGCAACTAGCAGTGTCTGCCGCACTCTTTAAAGCTCGGCTCACTCTGCATGCCACTGGGAATCCTTCCCTGCTAACCCCCAAGGAATGGACTCCCCAAGGTGGTGCTGGCAGCACATCTTGGTAGGTTGGGGAAACTGAGGCTCACGGGGCAGTACCGATTTGCCCAAGGTCACAGCTCAGCATAGGGCTGGGGGAGAATGCCTCACTGGCAAGTGCCTGCTCTCCTGCTCCTCCCACGGAGGCCCCAGGCAGCCTGAGCGCATGGTCACTGCATGCTCGTGGACAGTTCTCCTGTTTATCAGCAGAGCTTGCCCCCTGGCTGAGGACAGAGAGGCCATCGTGGGCTGCGGTTGGCGTGAGCACAATTTGCAGACTCGCTTTGCCTCTGGGAACCTGAGAACACGGCTTCTGACCATGGCAAAAACATTGGGCTTCCGAGTGGGCTCGGTGCTACGACAGAAGCTCATGCAAGACTTGAACATTTTTCTCTGTGCTTTTCCTCCCCTGAGTTCCGCTGGGGGCCGGTTCGTGGGAAGTTGGCTAATTGGAACTGTCCCTGCTGCCCCCATGAGAAATGGGATGTCGTACGCCATGTCCCCTGGAGAAAGTCTCCCATCTGTGCACCGCATGTGGATAATTATGTGTATGAATTACCGCCTTCTCCTCCCTCCCCAGGCCGGCTGGAGCGGGGTGTGCTCATGATGAAGCTTCCTGAGTGACCTTTCTGATGAAGGAATATGACTAAGTCAGCTCCTAAATCAGCCGTCTGCCCGAGCTCGACTGCAGTATTGATTTCCTATTCCAGGGCTGGAAAACGGACATTTATTTTGAAATATGTTCTGTAATGAATCTGTGATTTGGGAAGGGTGCTTCTGCAATTATCACTGCTGAACTTGATGTGACTCCCAGCAACAGAGAAAGTCACTGGCTGTCACTGGGTTTACTTTGGCCCGTTATTACTAAGAGGAAAGACCCCAGGCTGAGCAGTTGGGGAAGATGACACACCAGGTACTTCCCACAGCAGCAATGACTCTGCTCCTCGTGGGAAATGGCACTCCGAACACCCCGACTGCAAGATATATTACAGGGAATTTTCTCTACCTAAAAAGCCCTGGCCTGGGGGGAAGGATGTGTGGGGTCTAGTCACGGTCACTGACCAGTGACAACACCTCGGACAGTTCACTGCCTCTTCAAGGGCCGCAGAGCTCCCTGCTGAGGGACGGGGGAGGTGACCCAGCTTCAGTGGCCTCAGTGGCAGGCGGAACAATAATCCTGCAAGATGTCCGCATCCACACCCCCGAGACCTATGCACGTTCTAGGTGACGCGGCAAAAGGGAGGTGAGGCTGCAGATGGAATTGAGGCTGCTAGTCAGCTGACCTTAACATGGGGAGATTGCCCTGGATTGTCTGGGGGCCCAATGTCATTGCAAGTGTCCTTATAAGTGACTGAGGGAGGCAGAGCCAGAGAGACGGCACCGTGAGGCGACTCGGCCTGACACTGCTGACTTACGGGGGGAGGGGGCGGCGGGCCAGGGAGTGTGGGTGGCCCCTGGCAGCTGAGATGGGTAAGGGAACAGGCTCTCCCTTCGAGCCTCCGGAAGGAATGCAGCCCTGCTGACCCTTCCTTTTAGCCACGTGAGACCCATTTAAGACTTTTGACCTCCAGAACCATGAGGTAATCAACTGATGTTGTTTACGCCACGAAGTTCCTAGTAATTTGTTACGGCAGCAATAGGGGGCGTTTCCAGCCCACGCCCCGCTGTGCCTGGGAGTTGCTGAGTGGGCCCCACCCACCCGAATCCAGCCGTTCTCACAGCCCTGCCTACTCCTCCCTCATTGAGAATTCTCCACTTTGTCTCCCCAGCCAGATTCAAAGTTCTGGGAGGACACAGATCCTCCTGCTTAGCATCCACGCAGTATTTCCCACTAAGCACCTGCTTGGGTTCCACCATGGCAAAGATCAAAGTTGTGGCGTTGGCTCTGGGAATGGGCCGAAAGCCAATCTTTGCAGAGTGCTCACCACCTGCCGGGTGCAGGTTGAGGATTTCCATGGGCTACCTTACTGCATCTCTAGGGAAACCCCTGCATCTTTAGAGAAATTAGGGATTATTGTTACCCCATTGTTACACCATTTGACAAACGAGGCAATTGAGGCACAGGGAAAGTGCATCTCTTGCCTGAGATCCCAGAGCTGGGAAACTGTGGAGACCACGTTCCAGCCCTATGCACCATCAGCTCATCGTCCCATTCCCGGATGCAGACAATGGACATTTCTGTCTTACCTACGGTTCTGTGCAGATGTGGCGCCCAGGTAGGGGGCCCACAGTTTCTCTGGGAAAGTCCCCAAATCCTGGAATAATTATTAACGGTATCCTCCATTTGTGCTCCAAAAAGCTCTAGTTCAGGGGTAAACCCTATATATATAGCCACCCTGTGTCAAGTCCTCTCCCAGTGGCAACGAAACCCTAAAAAAAAAAAAAAGGTATGGGGGCTGAGTAGAGCTGTGCCCTCCGTGCTCAAGGAGCATGGAAGAAAGCCTGAAACCGGGTGACTTATGTCCCCGTCTAACTCTGGGACCATTTTGTTCTGTGACCCTGGGGGAACCATGATGCTTTTTGTAACTACCAGCGGGATGCCCGGCTCATACACAGAAACAGGGCATGGCAATATCTGAGAAATGCAATTGCTTTCTCCCCATGTTCTCCAGCCTGAATTTCTCCATCTGCAACACGGGGGGAATTATACAGCCTCTCGGAAGAGAACGGAGATTGTGGAAATGAAACCGCTGTGCAAGGCAGCCCAGAAAGCACCCTACAAATACAAGCTGGAGCGATGACATCCCTTGTCTGGGGAGATGACATCGTTGTGGCCAGGTGTGTGGATGACTGCTGCTCCCTAAACTCCATGGATTCTTATTCCCTAAATGAGAGTCAGGAGGAAACCTCGTGTTCTTACCAATTTAGCCTAAGACCTGCTATATGAGCAGACCCCAAAGTCCACACACTCAACCATTTTCACGTGCAGCTTAGACATGCCCCCCCTTGTCCCAGATGTGCTCAGCCAACCAGCTGCAGGATGTCCACACGGGGTTTAAAGTGCCCTTGACTGGTGCCCAGATCCCTGGTGCTGAGTGGCCACCTTCCTCTCCATTGCACCTATAATGAAACCCAAACACCTCCCCATGGCCCACCAGGCCCTATACAACTAGCTCTGACTTCTCTTCCATCTTCACCTCCCACTGCTCCACCCTGATGCTGTGTTCTGGCCATGCGGACCTTTGACCTTTCTCTCCTTGCATGTGCCATGCTTGTTCCTACCCCAGGGCCTTTGCATTTGCTCTCTCCTCTGCCTGGACATCCTTCCTTTGGTCTTCTTGTGGAAAGTTCCTCCTCATCAGCCCAGCTCATATATCGCTTCCTGAAAAATGTCTTCTTCGACACACTCCCCCACAAAATGTCACCTTCACCTTCTGTTCCCATGGTGGATGCTGGAATGTGCGGCCCAGAGCACGCTCAGGACTTACTTCTTCGCCTCCTAGGAGAGCTGCCCCCAGAAAGCCCTCCGCTGCCAGCTCCCTGCAGAGATTTCCCCATCTGAACACAGGTGCCTCACCACAGTCACAGCCCTTCCTGGCGCCACATCCAGGGACCGACTGGCACGGGGTGGGAGTAGAAAAGCCCAGCCCCTTGCCCCATCTTCAGAGCTCCCCACAGGTGTGCTGAGGCCGCCATGGAGACGGCATTGCATCTGCCCTTCTCCCTGCACCCGGCCCTGCCCGCGTCCCTCCTTCGCACAGGTGTGGATTCCAAGAGCCCTCTCCAGTCACCCCCTGCATGCTAACTAGCCTCTCAGAGTGTTTCCTGGGGACCCTACTTGTCACAGCCCTGCATCCTCTGTGACATTGCTCACTCCATTGCTTTCATAGCATGGACTGCATCCTGATACTATATTGTTCATTTATTGCCTTATACATTTGCCATCTGACTTCCTCCATCTGCTCTGGGAGGGAGGGACCCTCCTGATCTTATTTGCTCAGTGCCTGGCACATGGCAGGTGTTCAGTAAGTGTTGGTCGGAAGGAAGGGAGGGAGGAGGGATGAAGTGAGAGTGGAGGGAGGGAGAGGGAGGGGAGGAAGGGAGGGAGGGAGGAGGGATGAAGTGAGAGTGGAGGGAGGGAGAGGGAGGGGAGGAAGGGAGGGAGGGAGGAGGGATGAAGGGAGAGCAGAGGGAGGGAGAGGGAGGGAGGGAGGGAGAAAGGACTCTGACGTGACTTTCCTAAGGTGAGTAGCACTGGAATGTACACCTGTCATCACCCGTCTGCAGCTACAAAGGAAGCAGCCTGGGACCAGGTGAGGAGATGACCACAGTGAGAGCACTGTCCAGATGGAGGCTCAGCAATAGGAATCTTTATCTGGGCACATTTTCTACTTAAAAAATGTTTATAAAGTAATGTATTCATTCTAGGAAGTTCAGATATATTCTTCTGTCTTTTCTCTATGCATGCATTAAGAAATCTGTCCATAATTATTTATAACCTGATTTTTTTTCACTTAAGCACAGTGCAGTTTTTTTTTCATGCCAGTGCACATTCTCCTGCAGCATCATTTCCAATGGCCGCACAGCCCTCCATTGTGTGGCTGTGCCCTGTTTTGTCACCAGGCCCACCACGTTACCACAGTGATTGAGAGCACAAATGCCTGAGTGCAAGTTCTGGCCCTGCCACTTACTAACTGTGTGACCCTCAGCAAGTTCCTTAATTTCTTTGTATGTCAGTTTTATCATCTATAAAAATGTGGTAGTAACAGTACCTACCTCAGGGTTGTTTTGAGAATGAAAAGACTTAAAATATGTAAAGAGCTTCAAAGAGGGGCCAGCACGTGGTCCCCTAAGCTCTGGTCCTAGATCCTCCTCTCTTGGCTCTCTGTGCTCCTTCTCTGGGTGTTGGTCTATGCCTGAGACTACAGTGGCCACTGCTGCCTCTGTGCCTCCCAAAGATGCATCTCCAGTTCTCCCTTATCTGACTTTCATACCCGTATGCTCAACTGCACACTTTGCTTTTCTCTTGGGTCTCCTCTAGTTTATTTTTATTTTTTTCTTTTTTAATTAAGGAACCAAGTTTTCTGCTATCCTCTAGTTTATTGACTCTTCCTTTCAACCACCTATCTGCTCATCCACACATCCATCTACCCACTCCTCCATCCATCTATCCATCCTTCCACCCACTCATCCATCCAACCACCTGCCTGCCCATCCACTCATCCATCCATCCACCCATCTGCACCCCCATCTGCCCATCCTTCTGCCCATCCATCCATTCACTTGCTCAACCACCATGCTCTACAAGAGTGGGCCCCAACCTTTTTGGCACCAGGGACCAGTTTCATGGAAGACAGTTTTTCCACGGACCAGAAGTGGGGGTGGGTGGTGGGGGAGGCGGAGCTCAGGCGGTGATGCGAGTGATGGGGAGCAGATGTAGATACGGATGAAGCTCCGCTGGCTTGCCTGCCACTCGCCTCCTGCTATGCCACCCGCTAGGTTCCTCGGGTTCCTAAGTTTCATGGAGGACGATTTTTCCACAGATGGGGGATGGGGAGGGGGCCGAGCTCAAGCGCTAATGCTCGGCCTGGTTCCTAACAGGCTGAAGACCAGTACCAGGCTGTGGCTCGGGGTTTGGGGACCGCAGCGTACAGCCTTTCGTGCTGTCTACAGCCAGACAATGCTCCTCCTGTGGCTTACTACCCGGCATTTCCTCCCTCACTTGCTCAGCTCCAGCCCCGCCAGCTTCCTTGGGGGTCCCCAACCACTTTCATGCACACAGCCGCCATGGGGGCTTTGCTCTGGTTTCCTTGCCTGGAATACGTTGGCCTAAATTATCCCTGTAAATCACCTCCTCCTCTTCTACAATGCTTTGCTCAAACGTCAACTTCTCACAGAAGCCTTCCTGACCACTCTGTCTAAAATTGCAAATCACTGCTTCCGAAACACGTCTACATACCTTCCCTTATTGCTCTTCATAAATCCAAACACAATCTGGCATATTCTATCTCATTTATCCTGTAATACTTTGCCCTGCTAGAAGGCAAGCTTCATGAGGGCTGGATTTCTGCCTTTTAGAAAACTACCGTACCCCCAGCACCAGGAACAATATCTGTTCTATAGTAGCCACTCAGCGAATGAATGAATGAATTCAGGCAAGAAATTATGCTCTAGAGTCATTTTATAGAATTCAGAAATGAGTGAATTTGAGACATATTGAAAGAAAAAGTGTTTCATTTTAGTTTCATATTCAGCAAAATTTTCCTTTGTGTTTTCCACATTTATGTTTACAAATCCCTCAATATTATGTAAACATTCATTTATTTTCTTCCAGGACTTTGATGTTTTCTACATTTAATTTACCAATGCATCTGGAATTTATTTTGATGAACATAATGAGATATGGATCAGATTTAATGTTTTTATCTAGATCATTAGGCACCTTCAGAATGGTCTGAATACCATTTATTGAATAATCCATCTTCCTCCAAATAATAAAAATGCAACTTTATTACATTATAAAGTCTTATGTCTCTGTGGGTCTTTTCCTGAACTTTCTATGGCGTTTCCTTGCTCTGTTCCAATCAGCCCCACACTTCAGTGATTATAATTCTATGTGTGAGAATGCCTGGTTGAGCTAAATCCATACTTTCTTTTCTTTTTCAAAAAACTTTTTTTTTAATTACTTAATTTTCCAAATTCACTTTAGACCATTTCCCTCATGATAATTTACTGGAACTTCACATTTTATAGATTGAGAGGAAGGAAATAGATATCTAGTCAATATTAATCCTCTATCAAGGAATAAGCTATGTTTCTTATTATTTGATTCTTTCTTTTCATAGTTGTATTCATATGGATCCTAAGGACTTGCTATAAATAATCTCTAAGTGCTGTATACTGCAATTTAAAATTGGATTTTTTTCTCTGTTTTAGATTTAACCACTTATTCTTAATACTTAGGATATGTAAATTTGTGTATCTGAGTTTTGTTCCCGTGTTCTTTTTCTCTGTCCTGGTATCAATACCAGATTTGGTAGAGCAAGTTCCTCCTACATTTTCTTTTCATTTCATACATGTCTAGGCTTTCCTTACTTGTTTTTCTGTTTTCGTAGCTGTTATAATTGACCGACTTACCTCCCCAAATACACCCTGATTTTGTAGCTCATTGGACTTCTGGACACAATTACAAGCTCTGAAGGTTCTAGTTGGCTCTCTTGGGTTTTCCGAGTAGATGATCTGCTCTACTCTTTGTTCAAGTACCAGGACCTCTCGCTGTCTACCTGGGCCTCTGGCCATTAGCCACGTGCTGCCCGGTGACGCCTTTCCTGTCACTGTCCTGCATGTCACCTGTGTCTTTTGTCCCGCAAGTTACCTGTGTGTGTCTTGGCTCCACCTCCTGCACCTCCGGCCCACATGTGCTATTGCCAAAATAATTGCTAGCGCCTCCCCTCACCCTGCACCTTCTCGCACCAGGACCATATTGCCTCTACAGAGACACCCACGTCCCTTCATTTCCCTCCCAAAAGACCGATCCACACCCGATCCCTCAAGTACAATATAACTTGGTCACTGCAGCGCCCAGACATCTTTGGTGACTCTCTCATCTCCCAAATTAGATACAAACCTCCTCACACTGAAAGTCAAGGCCTTCCACAATACGACCACTGATAAAGTAAAATGAGTTCTATGTGCATCCAGCCGTGACGGGAGCATAACCCTCCTGGCTGCTGGGCCACGACGTTCCCAAATCAACATGAACAATGCTCGGAGAAAATGAACATACTCAAACAAGGCCACACGCGGCCACATTTGCAACTAGGTAAAGGCAAGACCACTCTGCAGCCACAGAAATGACTGAACATGCCCTTGTTCTAACGTGAGTGACGGAAGCCTTTCTTTATCGAGGACAACTCCAGCCCTGCGTCAATCTTCACGCCTCTGAGCTGAAAGCGTTCAAGATACGCAGTCGCCAAATCGCCCCACTCCTTACTCTGCCTCCCCAGTCCCCTCTTCGAACACTCACCAGAAGCCCAGGCGCCCTCAGAAGCACCGCCCTTCCCTCTCGCTGAGACGGTCCCCGCGCCGTCTGGGTGTCATCTCCTGTACTGCGAGGAGCGAAATAAAGCAACTTTGACCACAGGTGAGTTCTTGGTGGCCTTTGGTTGGCGGCTTTAACGTGGTGACCTAGCTCTCTAACTTGACCTCCCTCAGTTCCCCAATAGCTTCCTTATCACTCAGAGCCTTTTTCGGGGTCGCACTTAATTCTGAACAAGCCACTGGACCCTGCTGCCATTTTGCAAGAACAGCAGAGGACTGAGAGGGGACTATGCCGACTGCACCTTAGGTTCTGAAACACCAGAATCCAGACTGTGAGAAAGTCTAGAGGCCGCAGGGCCCAGACGCTGCAGCAGAGAAATCCTAAGGAAAAGGCAGGCGTGGAAGAGAAACCTGTACCCTTAAAAGACATACCAAGGTTTACCCCTATGGTGTCTAGGGCGGGGCAAGGGGGTGGTTAAACCATGGCGACTGCAGGAGGGCGGTTGGACGTGAGAATCAGCATGAGAATCATCCCTCAGAGGGAGGGCGGGACTGTGACTGGGAGGCAGCCATGGGGGTCCTGGCAAGGATCTTGCTATTTGTGGACTTGGTCCAGGTTATAAGGATGTCTGCTTATAACATTTCACTAAGCTATACATTTTTTGGGTACCTGTTTTCATTTTAAGACAAAAAGATTAAAAAGCCTAGCCTTGAGCAGTTCAGTTTCTATAGGCAAGAGCAGCAAGGTGTCCAGTGAGTGGCTATCCCAGCGAACCACAAAGATGATGGTTTGACCCAAGGTGACCGCAGTGGGGGCGGGGAGTGCAGCTGGATTCCAGATGTATGGGAAGGGGGAGCCAAGGGAGTCACTGCCACCCTGAACTAGCATGAGAGAAAGGATGCAAGGTCGTGCTGCTGCCTCTCTTTCTGACATTATTGCACCTCTGATGACCGTCGTGGCAAAAGGCATGTGTGTGGATGAGATGAAGGTTTCACAAAAGCACTAAAAATGCATTTATTGCCCATAGGCAGATGATACCAGTTAAGGGAGGACACGAATGCTAGCGGGTGGATGTCCCTTACTTCCCGGGGTTTTCACACCTATCAGTGAAGCCCCTGGTGGGAAGTGATCAGGGGACTAGCCAATTGCTGGAAGCAGCATAGCCCAGAGGCATTTTGTAACCTCCAGGCATTTAAAGAGGACTGAGATCATTCATCAACATGACACCTCAGATCTGCATTGCCCTGGGCACTGTGGCATCAAGACCCCCTCCCCATCAATCTCACTTCTGAAATTCAAGATAAACAAGGTGCCTCTCTGGTTGGTGCTCATAATCCGTTTATTGACTTGAATAATCCATCTTGTCTCCTTAAAATTGTTAAGTTCTTAAAACAAGGAAGCCAGAC